AGCCACTAGGAAGCAACTGATGCTCGAATATTTATAGGATTATAATGGCCAACAAAACTTTGCACAAAACATAAGAAAAAGAAAGAAAAAAATAATAAATTATTATAAGTCTATGCGCATTTTTATTATGTTGTGGCATTCATAAATATAAAAGGCGCTTGATCGGTTAACGATGGGCCAGCATGTTGTATTTATAACTTGCTATACATATATTTTGATAAAATAATTTCTTTTAACAGATGTATTAATTTCGAAAGAGATGATTGATTATTATTATTATTACATTTTAAAGAATATGTTCGTTGTTTTGTTTTAATTAATTCTAAAAGAATGAAAAGAAGGGGAAAAAGAATATAATTGAAAATTAATCATAGGGCATCGCCATCAGTGGCGATTCTCCTAAATTTGAAATAAAATATCTCTCGTTTCTTTCATGAATTTAACTTTAAAAATATAATTTTGAAAAAAATGTTCCATCCCTATACAACCACGAGTGAGAGAGTCAAGCTAGAAATTGCTGTTATTTTTTTTATCCTATCAGATAAAGGTCGCATTAATAACTTATGCAGGTAAAATATTATTGAACATGTTGTTTTTCCATTAAAATTCATTCCTCATTTTGTGGCAATGTTCTTGCAACAATGACTTTGTGAAGATAGATTGGCTAAATTATTTACTATAAAAGCATTCAACTGTAAAATTTTGAGGAATTAATGTTCCAATGCAACAAAAACCATCAGTGTGAAATTCTCAGATAAGTTCGTGCATGAAATAGATTTTACTGAATTGAAAAAATTAATCGTTTAACTCATTAATCACCAATGTTTCATTTTCGAAACATCAACTTTGGCGTCAAATAATTTTTTTGCTTTATAATTTATAAATTAAAAGAATGTGACCTGTCTCACCATATCTTTTTCTTTCTAAAAATGCGAATAAAAAAATTTTGAACTCATTTTTGTAAAATTTATAAGCTTTTCAATTTAAAATTTCTTGATTTTTGGTCAAGCGTATAAAAAACTTTAAAAAAAATTCGATAAAATTTTAATTCAAAAAAATATATATATTCTAGTAACTCATATCCTTAACTAAGGTCCATTAAAATATTAGCCTCGAATTTGTAATGATATTTTAAAAAATTTATACGCTCATTTAAAAACAGTTTTAGACGCATTATTATAAATTCGGATGAAATTATTGTATTATTACCAAATAATATAGGAGACGTCACAGTGAATAAGAAAACGATCAAGATATATCGTCAGAACAATGAGAATGTTGCGGGAGAAGTTGAGATAAATAGTCAGTATTAGGATAAATAATATACAACAATCTTTGAGAATAAAATTTTCCAATATAAAATGGAGATAAAAATAGTGAAAAGCATTTATAATATAATTTCAAAAGAACCAATTCAGTTATAAAATTCTTTCTGTGATATAAATGTAAAACCCCTTCTAGAATCATTTCGCATGTTTTTAGAAGAAGACATGTATTCACTTATAATAAATCAAACGAAATGATATGATAATCAAAAATGAAATAATTATCATTCAATAGGAATATCAAGCTTCCCAAGAAGATTTATATTGGTCTCAAGATGAAGATTTAAGTTCATATTTTATTTTCAAAAAAAATGTCTAGAAATCGTTCAAGAAATTAATCATATTCACATCTGGCCAACAATTTTGGGGTCGATAAAACTGATAAATTAGGGAAGATTTTTTGGTCAAAATCTAAAACAATTTGAGATATTCAAAGAAACTTTAAGTTTAGATAAACAAAGGATCCACTATTATGAAAATCAAACTATAAAGATGTACATGCGAGGGCATAAAATTTGTTATCTTCATCTTGTGGATATAAAGTGTTGTTAAATAGTCGAGTTCATTCGACTCCGACTTAGAGTCGGTACTCGTTAGTCGATTTAGTCGACTAATTTAGTTCGCAACTCGAGTCGTGACGAGCTATGAACTAGAGGACGAATATTTTATAATTATCTTTAATTATCTTTAATTAAAAAATTATTTTTTATTTTCGTTTTTTATAAATAAAATTAAGAATCTGGGAAGGCTGGCCTAGGTAATTTTTTGAATAAGAAGACGTTTCTTTTGTGATAAAAATTTTGAATTTTTTTTTATTAAAATTATCTAACAATATAAAATTTAATTATATTTTGTATATGAAATATTAAAATCTAACAGTCATTATTTTAATTATATATTTGTATATGGATGTGATCTCAGCTCAATAAATATTTTAGCATAGTTTCTGTATCCAGATACATTTGTAAGTGGTTTTGGCGGGTGCTCTGATCTATAGATTTGATCAACCAGATAAACCCATTTGTTTGAGGTCTAGCTTATTTTCTCCATCAAAAATCCTAACAAAAATTATGATAATTCGACCCAACCAAGCAATTTAAGTTTAACAACCCATAAAAAAATTTAAAAATTCGGACGTGTGACTTAAATTTGACCTTTAACGATTATGAAAATTGTCACTTTACTATGGTATATCAACTCTTATTTTTTTATAAGAGAATCTTTATCAAAATAATAAAATTATTATTTGCATCTTAATAAATTTTAACCTATTTGCGTCAAAAATAAATTAAAAAAGTTAAATTATAACGATTATTACAATTGTCACTTTTCTATGGTACATCTTTATTGGAATTTTAATTTAACATGTTTACAATTATCTTCATCAAAAAATTTAAAAAAAAAAAATAATAACGATTATGACAATTATGACAATTGTCACTTTCACTTTGTTATTGAAATTTTAATATTACATCTTAATAATAAAAATTTTAACCAATTTGCCTCGCAAAAAATCAAAAAAAGTTAAAAAAATAACGATTATGACAATTGTCACTTTTTTATGGTACATCTTCATTGAATTTTTATTTTATTTAACATGCTTACTAACCCATTTAGTTCAAAAAAAATCATAAAAATAATAATTTACTATAACATTTAAAGATTACTCACTGAAACTCGGGAAAATTTTTAGTATTTTTTTTTAAAAATATTTATTTTTTAAAAATATTCAAAAAAATATTAAATATGTTTGGAATATTGGTGAAAATTTTCACAATTCTTTAATTTTACAATCAAAGTGGTGTATATTATTTACAAATTTTAAAAAGGTATGTGCTAAATGATGTCACTAAGTTAGGACTATTAAATCAAATACTAGATAATAAATCAATTTATTTGAATAATTTTTTTTAAATTTTTTTAATTCTTTATTCTTAAAATGAGAGGAAGATTTTCTTCCATTTCTGGGAAGTTTGCCTTATGATCCCTCCATGAACGCTCATACGTTGAGTGTGGGTCGATATATCATTTGGGTCTATCTGCTATGATTGACCGAGTAATGATCATATCCACTTTCATTAAGGTTGTTAGAACTTGTAAAAATATTAAATTTTAAGATTTACAATATTTAATTTACCTCTTCCATTAATTCTTAAAACCATATCCTGTATTATTCTTATATATCTTTTGGGAACCTTTTTGTAGCATAGAGCCCACCAAATAAGTTTTCTTTGGATTCTATCGAAGGCCTTTTCAAAAAAATAAATTTAAAGAAAATATTTTTTAAAAAAAATAATAATATAAAAAATTTCCCCGAGTTTCATTACCCATTTAAAATATGAAGATCGTTGATCAAAAATATTTTTAGATAAAAAATCTTCAAATATTACGATCTTCCAAAGTGATCTTTGAAGATCGTTGCTCAAAATTTAAAAAAATACAAGATCTTCAAATTTTACGATCTTTTGAGCAAATGTATAACTCTGCATAAAATTCCCTCTTTTTATTCGTTATCAGATAAAATATTGTAAATTTAAGATCAGGAGGTTTCAATAGAAAACGGAATTAAATATCTTAATTTTAAAATTTCTTTTTTTTGGGGGCATTAATATATGATCTATATTTATATAAAATTTTCAAAAACATGATTTTTAAAAAAAAAGAAATTTAACCTTCACTGCAAAAGTGGACTATGCAGACCCTAATCATTTTAAAAACTTTAGTATTTAAAATTCTCTCGATATTTTTGCCTGAATCTTTTTAGTAGCTTAACATTTTTAGATAAATAAATGCATGCAAAATTAATTTTGATTTTCAGTAGCTCAAGAATTATAACTTATAAGGGTTTTGTGCCTTGAGGTCATCCATGTAACTTATTTTCTTGGCATTGTTATATTTAGCATAAATATTTTTAATATATAATTTTTATTAATAAAAATTTCTAACGTTCCTCATCTCCTTTATTTTTTTTCAATTCAAACCTCATTTATTATAATCATAATTTTATTTCTTCTTATAAATATATTAGGTTTTATTCTTTATTAAATAAAAAAAAAAAAAAACATTTTTGCAATATGGAGCTCATACCATAAAAAGTTCAAATCAATTCCTTATAAGATATTTTATTTTGATTATTGGTTTTTAAATTAATAATACAACCATATTTTTACAATTTTGTCATTTGAATTTTTTTAGCTAATCATTTTAAGAGACTTTGGCCTAAAAATTTTGCAAATTTCTTGCTGTAGCCATATAAAAATATCTTCACAAGCAAATTTTTTTCCCCAATAAGTTAATAAAACAAAATCCTATGAATTAAAGGTAAATTAAAAAGAGCCTATTATTTTTTTTTCTAATTTTAAGGACTCACTGATTACCTTATATAATTAACATTAACAAATTTTCTATAAACATAATTAATTGAGATTTTAAACTTTTTAGGAAACGATACAAAATTAGATGGTAAAATTAATTTAGTGAAAAATTTGTAGATAAGCATGGCCCTAATTAAAACAAGTTTAATACTAAATATACTATTTACAATAAAATTTTTGTACAAAATGATAATTTAAAATAAAAATAATAGTCTTTAAATATATTGATTTTATTCTATATTACAACAATTAAATGTAAAAAAATATATTAATGAGCTACAAAATTATAAGCACAAAAATTGTATTTATTATATATACATATACAGGATGCATTACATAATCAATCTAAAGAAATATAGAATTTATAATATATTTACAATATTTATGAGTATAAAACATAATTTCATATTGAATAAATTTTATCGAGAGGGGGATCTTGAATATGATGAGGCAATAGAAGATTTCTCAGAATCATGTCTAATTTTGTTCCCATTACTGTTATTAACTCCTTCAATATGTTCTCTACTTCCACCCCTGGCTTTCGATTTTTTTGGAGATCTTGAATGAGATCTCACTGATGCGGAACTCCTGCTTTTGCTGCGACTTATAGATGCATGAACTGGGCTTTTCCCAGTTGGTGAATAGCTATGAAATAAAAACAAAAGGGATAGTAAATAAGATAAATTATTAATTATATTATAAATTAAATGAAGTTATTAGTTAACCTTCTTTTCTTGGATCTCACATCAGAGGGCTTTTCTTCAAAGAGTTTGATTTTGTGACCCATGAACTCGACACCATAATATTTATCGATAGCATACTTCATGTCTTTAGCAGTCATAAACTCGACAGTCCTAAAGAATTAATTAATTTAAATAGATTGGTACAAAAAATATTACGCATAATCTGATCTAAATTCAATATTCAAGATGTCACCACATTTTCTTAGCAAATCTTTGATATCCTATATAATAAAAATTTTTTAATGTATTTATCTAAAGTAAATAATATATTAGTAAATCAGATTTATAAACTGAAAGATTGAGAAACTGAGCGAGATTGATTGAAATGAAACAAAAAGTTGTTTATTGCAATGCCACAGTTGATTTGATTGTTTTTTTTAAAAAGATTGTCAGGAAATTGAAATTGTTGTTTTTTTATGAATCAACCAACACGTTTCATTTAACTAGATAAACAATTTTATTTTGCAAGAATTGATTGACTACGTATTGAATGAATTGTGTTGTTTGGGGTATTGAGAATTGTATTTTGTATATTGAACTAAGGTAATAGAATATTATAAATAAATAATTTCAATAACTCATAGGTTTATAAAATGTTTACCAGTTATTTTATTTAAAAAATTTTGCTTACATGTTTAGTAGCACGAGTTGACACGTTTTCTATAACACACCTGAACCCAGAAGGTGACGCTTTCGGCCTTTAAACACATAAATAAAATATTAATTTAATTAGGTAATACTTGTCCCCATCATCATAACGCTCTCTTTTATTGGTGTATTCAATTCCTCTTTCCCTATCTTTCCAAGCGTCTCGACCATGAGGAATACCTTTCGCGTGCTCAATTACAACCCTGTAAAACTCCATTATAAATATATAGCTTAATAATATAAAACCGTTCTCCACATAATTCTCTGCCATTTAACTCGAAAACAGCGTCATCTGCGTCTCGAGAATCCTCGAATTCCTATATAATATACAACATTTGTAATCATAAATATAAAATATTACCACAAAACCATATCCATTCTTTAACATAATTTCTCTAACACGTCCGTAATTTTTGAGGAATCTCTCGATGTCTCTTTCTCTAACTCTATAACTCAGCCTTCCAATATAAATGCGAGAATTCATTTTTGAATATTAAAATTAAATGGCGATATAATGCAAATTTAATAACAAAGAAGATGACTATATAATAAATGGAATATTTATATATTTAAAAAAAAATTATTTATTTTTAAAAAAAATGTAAAAATAACAAGAAACCAATTTATAAATTGATATTTTTGAAATAAAGGTTTATGTCATGTCATATTATATATATATATATATTAAAATATATCTATTATTAAAAAAATACAAGGAGTTTTTTAAATTAAAGTAGAATCAATTAAAAAATTATTTTAATATTTTAATCCTATCAAATTTAAAAACCCTGTATATTTTATATAGTATGATCTGAATATTAAGATATAGATAATTTATAATTATTTTAAAGTAAATCATGTTGAGATATAAATTAATATAGTAATACAACTCTTTTTATTCGATTTAATTTTGTAAGATCAGACTTATTCTATTGATTGACCCTTTTCTTTTTTAATATAATTATCCCATAAATATTCAAAGAATCTTGCCTTGATAATATTTAAAACTTATAATTATTTCTAAACAGATTTTACCATTTTACACAAATTATCCTCTTAAATTATTTATTATAAAATTTTCAACCATAATTTTTTATTTCCTTCTAAAAATCCTCATAATTGTGCTATGCTTTTTCCCCAGTAGATATCCAAATTTTAATTTATTATAATTATTCCTAATGAGAATATTCAATTAGGAAGTTGTCCCCCTCCCCATAATAATCTTATCTAATATTATTTTGTTTTTTAAACTTAATTTTTGTCTTATCTCTGTTGATATAAAGCAATTATTATTTTCTTAATAATCGCAATTTAAAAAGTTGCAATCCATTCATAGCTGGCCGATGCGGCATAATAGGTGTTGTATATAAAAAATAATATATATGCATCCCCTTTTGTATATAGTACAAAATAAATGAGATTTACTTTTTGACCGGTCATCATTCTTATTGAATTTCAAATCACTCTACAATTTTTTAAGGGCTAAATAAGATTTAGGAATAATAAATTTAAATTCTGCCTTCATGAAATCACGGCCATGAGTATAAAATTAAAACTTAGTATTGTTTTTAAAAGTTTAATAAATATCCAAAAATGAATCAAAATTTGTAAAGAACTAATATTTAATTAAATCGAGTAGTTAATAAATTTATGATGTGCATATTTTTAAATATATATTATATGTAAAAATGTAACTTTACAAGGATAAAGAAATTATTTATGTAATATAATCTAACTTAAATTTTTCAATAAACAGCAGCATCTATATTACAGAATATTCATTGAAGATAACACCCCCTCCCCTCTAAAAACCTAAACCTAACCCCCCTAAAAAATATTTAACGCCTTCGTCAGCGATATTCTCATATTATATTTTAGATATTAATCGGGTTCTTAGCTACATTAACAATTCAAATACTATTTATTAATATCACATTTTTATAAATTAATTAAATTGTAATATATATATATATATCATGAAATTATTATAAATGATAGTTTTTGGTTCTGTAGTATTTACAAATGTAAACACATAAATGAAATCAAAGTTTAAAGATATGTTGTATTGTTACATATGTCACCTTTAATTGAATATTATTTTAATAATGTTGAACATATAAAAAAAATATAATGAATATAAAATAAAAGTGCAGCAAAAAAACTTTCTAAAATTGACTAACTAACTATGGACAAGTAAATTCAACATTTTTTAATAGTTGTATTTTTATAAAAATATTATTTAAAAAAAAGGAAGTTATAATGTAATACACCCAAATTAATTGAAGTATTATTTTAAAAAATATATTGCCAAAAAAGTATAAATTATATAATTAAGAGATGAGTTAATCTTTTAGTAGTCAGAGCAAATTCTGTTATAATTTCATCAGTTAAAAATGCATCAAATATATTTTTAATAAAAATTTTAGGAAAATAAATCGGATATTATATTCCTCGTTCATATTTTAACAATTTTTAATTTGCTCATAGCTCTTCAATGATATATAGCTATACAATTATATTCTTTCAAAAGATCACTGTGGGGAAAATTATAATATGTCTATATTATAATTTTCCGATGTCCTCACTACGTCGTGACCTCATGTCATCGGTATATATTTTTTTTTATTTTTTTTATTTGTTGATTTTATTTATTTATTTTATACAAACATAGATCCTACCAACAGTCTTAATTTATTTTTAAATAGATTATATTTTTTATTATTTTTAACGATTATTACTTATAGCGATTTAGAACGGGAACCATATTTGTTAATAACATTTTATCACATTTGATTTTGCAAAAATGGATAGATATTTATAAATTATACTGCTTGGACGATGGTTCAACAAGTTAATCATTTTCCTTGAATTCCTGAAATCAGAGTGCCAGTTATTTAAAAAATTCTCTTAATAAGGTCACTCTAGGATTTTCACGTAAAACAGACTGAAAGCTATGGATCATACAAGTATATTGTAAATCTTAAAATGGGAATATCTTTTAAAATAATGATAATAATTTAATATACAAAAGATTACCCAACAAATCTTAAATCTCCCTCCCTTGTATTATACATATTTTGGGTTAATGATGCTTACTACAAGTGAATGTATGGAAATATTCTAAATACCAACCTAATTTGCTAAGGAATCACGTGGTCGAGTCTGGCCTCCTATATATTATCCCCCCAAGGATGGAACCACCAAGTTAGAATAAGAAAAAAAACATGATCATTCCTGGGATTCGAACCCGGGACCATGGGATAAGTAAACCAAGCTCTTGCCTACTAGGCCATAGAGGCTTTCCAAAAATCACGATTTTTCAAATATATATTATAAATATATTTGGTAGTGCCTATCCAAATGAAAAAAACAAAATTCAAATTTGATAGATGGTACCTTAAGGTACCAAGCATCATTAACCCATATTTTGGTACCCAACAAAATCTTAAATCTCCCTCCCTTGTATTATACATATTTTGGTAAGTCTACTTATGGGCAAGCTGCACTATAATTTACCACTATTTATTGGGGTTGGGAGGTTCACTTTTCGGTTAATAGCCTTTGCAGTAGTTTCAGGTAACTTCCTATAACTTTGCTTATTATATTTAAACTGCTGTATCACCCATAGAAGACTATAATCAGTTGTATTACCCATATTAGAGATGACCAAAGTTTCATTTTCACTGATTTCATGAGTTAAATATTAGAAGAAGTAAGATTATTAAATTAAACTAAATTCTTTTTTAAAAAAAGAAATGATCTTTTAACACTTACATATCACTTAAACTTTTCACTCCATACCTTCCTTATAATATCACAAAACCTTTCAGGCAACTAATCCTTATAATTGCGTTATTCACTTATATCTGTTTGTTTTCTGAAGTTTAAATATTTAAATAAGAATATATTCAGTTAATTATACTAAATGTTTTATCTACTTTATAAATTTAGAATAAGAATCTTAAATTGGTTAAAGCGTTGTGTAAATTTAATCAAGAAAGTGTTAATTAAAAAATAGGAAATTTGAATGCAGGTTGATCTTATGTGGTTCAAAAACATTATGACCAATGTAAACTGGGTTACTCTTTAACACTTACTTTCACTAAGTATCACTAAATATCACAAAATTTCAAGCAACTACTTGATATAAATTGCCTTATTCAATCACATTTCCCTGTTTTGAAAATTTTAAATATTTGAATAAGTCTATTAAATTAAACTAAATATGTGGTTCAAAAAACATTATGATATGTAAACTGGGTTACTCTTTAACACTTACTTTCACTAAGTATCACAAAATTTCAAGCAACTACCTCATATAATTTGCCTTATTCAATCACATTTCCCCGTTTTGAAAATTTTAAATATTTGAATAAGTCTATTAAATTGTGTTAAATAAAACTGAATTTCTCATCACATTTTCCTGGTTTGAAATTTTTAAATATTTGAATAAGTTTATTAAATTGTGTTAAACTAGACTGAATGTCTCATCTATCTCATAAATTAGATTATGAATTATTAAAATTACAAACTGTTGTGTAACTAAAATTAATAAATTGATGATTAATAATGATACAATTTAGGATGCTGTATGGTTTTAATTAATTTAACATTTTATGTGTTTTGAAAGGATTGAGAGATTAAAATCGTTGTCAAATAAGAAAGGTTAAAATTACATTATACTAAATCAGACTAATATCCTCGTTAGAACTAAACTGATACTAAATCAGACTAATATACTCGATTATATATATTTTTCTATAATATTCGTCAAATCAGAAAAGTTAGAACTAAAATGATACTAAATCTTTATTAAATAATAAGTTAAAAATATAATCAAACTAATTTAATTAAAAAAATTAAAATAATCAAAAATTATAATTAAGTTCGTAAAATCATGATCTGTCTTTATACAAATATCCTCGAATATATATATACTTTTCTATAATTCATTTACATAATGTTTTACAAACAAACTGAAAAAAATCTTGAACTTTCTTTAATTTGAATAATCATTCTTTTTTATTCCTCTTTCTTTAAATCATTTGCATTCGAAATTTAATTCTTTTTTCTTGTAGATTTGAATATCCTTCGGCTTTGTAATTTGGTTTAACAATTACAACAATTAACACAACGGATTTATCTTAATATAACGGTTACATAGACTTTTATACTACTGATGAATTTAAATAATAAATGTTGCTTTTGCTCAACCTTATTTTCCAATATAATCTCCGGAGGAAATGAATAACGAGTGCACTCTTATCTTAAAATAGAAAATTCTAAACTTAATAAGGAAATACTTATCTAGGTTAAAATATTATATCTGAAAACAGATAAATTTAAACGTAACGTAGTAATGTAAATAGTTTTATTCCTTTACCTCCATTTTAAATCATTTATTTTTGGGGCCATTTCTATAAATGTTGACAAAATAAATCACCCTTATCTTATTTTGTTTCATTCGCATGATTTTTGCGCACAAATAAATATAAAATAATATTTAAGAATATATCAAACAAACATAAAAT